ACCATGATGGTCATCTTCTTGGTGTACGACCAGTTTAAGGGATCATTGGGATCTTCGGAGCTACGTGGTGTCAACTATGCTACGACTGGAATGCGCCGAACAATTCTTCTGCAGGCACACATACGGTTGAGGTATCAAGATGACATCTGCATCTCTACCAGTGCCACGCTTCAACGTCGCAGCTGCTACTGTTCCTTCGGCAACAGGGAGAGTGTTTTGTTCCTCGCTGAGGACGACAGTCGCCGGCACATGTGCAAGGTGTTTGTCCTCGACGATACCGAGGAAACCCATCGCGACGGTTGTACCCGCACTATGCTATTGAAAATTTCCGAAAAAGTAAAAGAATGATGAAGCGAAAAGCAATGGAAGGATTCCGAGGAACAATTCCAGGATGCAGGTGTCAACAACGTGGGACGGCGCGCGTTATGAACGATCGGCATCCCCAAGTTTCGTCGACCTCCACGACCAGGGGTAGCGTGCGCCTTCTGGGGTTCAGTGTTCAAGATGTGGTCTCTGCGACCCCCGCACAACTCTCTCTCATCTGAAGCCCCACAGGGGCCGGCATTTCATAGGCTTTTGCGTGCCAATATTGGAGAATGCCTTGTCGACAAACGCACGTCTAGGCTGGCCTTGCATCTTATCTGGTCTATAGGACGCAGGGCCGAAAACGGTGCATGCACGTGCATCTCAGATGCGTTTAGCCTGATTGTGTCGTCATACAGAAGTATTGGATATCATCAAAAGTGAGCGTTGGAGGGTAATGAAGACGCGAAACTGCACAAGAGGCGCGCATTCTACAGGAAACTTTGGCCGTCGCGTCCTGCGAGGACGGGACGCAGCTGCCAACTTTGCGGAGAGCACGCTAGCTACCCCGCAGAGCCCCACAGCTGAGACTTAGCGCGTGAATTGCCTAGCCGTGCGTGTCCGAGCACCGCGTCGCGAGTTTCGCAGTCTTGGTGGCGTTTTCTCCAACTCCTTTCTTCAGCTATCAGGACATCGCAGCCCTCACGCTAATTTCGAGTTCCGCCGTTCCCACGGGGCGAATTCGTCGCTGTACTTGGTGTTGCGGCAGACACCCGCTGCGATCTTGTGCCGGCAGACTTTACACGTTTGGACGCTGAACCACGTCAGCAAGATCCACCAAACCCACATGGGCTTGTTGGTTTGCCCTCGACATCTGCTGCCTGGCTCAGTTGCTTTCCCGCGAACAAGAACAAAGTAATAAGCGTTCGCAAAGAACGCTCGATCGTCAACAAAGGTCCGCATCATGTCGCAAATCGGGACATCATCTTCTTCCTAGAACACTCTACTTGACTGCATGGCCATTGGGGCAGGATTCTTGAGGCACATGTTCAACACGTTGTATGCGAGGCGACATGGAGGGTACAACTCGGAGCCGTGGTGCTAACGACACAGACGTACTGCAGGTGCTTTGCTACTCGTCCGCGTCGTGAAGAACGGTACATCCAATCGCGTGCGCGACAAATCTCATAGTAGCCGAATAGTATGCCAGCAACAACACTTTCGCTGAGTCAGAGCGGCATGTACCATGGATCACTCTCGGCAAGGTCAAAACACAGGTACAAATGCTGAGCGTTTGAGTATTTCTGCAAGACATTGTTCTTACCTCCTTGTCTCTCCCTCATACTCATAACCCGCCCAACTGACTCGGAAACTATGGACTCACCACCCTACACTCCCGATTCCGCAGCAGAAGCTGCACCAGACAATATATGGAAAGCCCAACGTCTATACCAGTTCCTCCTCGAGAACATCGCTTTTGCGTATGGAGTAAGCCAGGAAGCACTTCTCGAGGCACTTGCTTCAGAACATCGGCTGTATCTACCACTCAGCGGGAAAGTGAGGCCTGTCATAATATCTCCAACAACGGAACAAGAACGCAAGGAGTACCTGCCTCTCTGCAAACTCATACGGGCCTCCCGAAGACACGTTCGACTCGGCCAGTACAGCTTAAATACAGACTCGGACTATCACATCCTATACCAACAACTCGTCCTTCCCTGCCAGGCCTTGGAACTGTGTCCATCGTACGTCGGCTCATGGATTGCAGACTACAACGATCATCAATTCAACCCTACGAAACGTCTCGCAACTTACCTTTACGATGACTGCGCGCGTATACGAGTATTCGGCCATACATTGCCATTTCCGGTCGTGTGGTACTCTGCAATTTTGCAGACGAAGCTCACTGCTGACGACGTCTTCGTCGAAGACTTCCCGCCGAATGAAAGGACTCAGTTGCTTCTGGGTTCCGCCATAGCACGCTTTGGAGGCAAGCACTTTCGCTACCGAAGACTTCGACCTCAGAGGAGGATATTACATTCTAAGCTGGGAATGGAAGAACTTCTCAGACTTGTCCTAAGGTACGACGATGCGAGGCATGGGGTGGGTTGGTTGAAGTAACATCACGAGCGACGTGGTGGCTCAGCCAGGGAGTCAGACAATGTGCTTGTACCCAATGTTGCGCAATTAACAAGGATGGTCTGCGCAATCACGCGGAACAAACCAGAAGAATGGCGATGGTATAAGCGGCCATTCTTCGACCCGAGGGGAGGCACTGGCTTAGCTCGATTCTGACCCAATGTCTCGAATGTGGCGGACCCCTACTCCTAGCCCCGTAAGGTCTTCTACGCCACCAAACACTACGACTCCAACACCAGTCTCGATACTACCTCCAATACAACATACATACGTCCTTCTCCGCTCCTCAATACAGGAATACGTTGGCTGTCATGGCAGTCTAATCACCATAGCCTCAGAACCGGAAGCACTCCACGTAACGTCATTCTATCACGTAGCTTGTCAACTACTCCAGCTGCATAAAAGGGATACGACGGATTTTCGCAATGACTATGCATATTGTCGAATCACCTACATGTACTCTCCTCTACCCTCTTCCGAAGTCGAAGCTTGCGACATCACCCTTGTGAGCCGGTTCACGGATGCGCCAAAAACCATTATACGCTTTCGAATCCAAAGGGTAGAAGTAGTGCATGAAGTGGACGCCTTTGGGCGCAGAGTATAGTGAAGACACTCGAAATCCCACACGAAAGAAGCGCACGGACTTCGTATAGACTCTTTCGGGCGAGCGATGTTGCCAAGGAACTTAGTAGATGGTCTGCTGACGGTGGTGCGTGAGGGAAGTGGCCGTGCGTAGATAGTGCAAGTATGTATGTGTCAATGCCAGTTGTATGATTGCGTTAGAGTTGCCAGACGCCTACAAAGACGCTATTCAATGCGTTTCAACATTCTAAACGACCGTGTGGAATCCAGGGCTGACTTTGCGCGTGAAACCCTGGATGATTTGATTGTCTAGATCACGAATGGATGTGGCAGCAACTCATCTCGGACGATGCGCTCATTGATCTCTTAGCTTTGAATAAGGCTACCCGAGATCTCATCGGTAAGACGATAGCGGAGGCGGGCGTCAGAATGGAGTTCAGACAGCCGGGGCGAGTTACAAGCGTGAGGCATTTGTCCACGTCGTACGTATCAGTGCATCCAAGAGTCCTATTCGCTGCGCCGTTGTCGACTATACTTTCATAGAATATGCAAGAGATGTTCCATGCGAGCCAAGAGTACACGGTCGAGAGCTCTAGCATAAAGAGCCTGGAAGTGTGAACCTGGAAGAATTGTTTGATCGGACTTCTGTGATGGTCAGTATAGAACGAAGCATCTGGGAAAGAGATGGGTGTACCTTGGGTACAAGATGGACTATGCTACCAAATGTCAAGGTGCCTGGCTATAGGCTCGCGTTTCTCGTTGATTCTAGATCTCTGGATTGCTATCCAGTCACTCTGCGAGGAAGCTCGTGTTTCGTTGGGAGGGCGCCTGACATGAGATGCCCTGGAGGTACTCGGTGTGTTGTGTGTTAGCAGACATTGATTTTATCCACATCGAATACCTCTCGGGTGGGTCGTGTCGCCACAAAATACTAGTTCGTAAATCCAGAATTCTGGTGATCACTCCTCACAGATGCTGGCATACGCTCCCAACTTCTGTACGTCCCAATCATGGAGAGTACTCCAGCTAGTGTGGCTCATCTATCGCTTTGACTGCATGTGCGCGAGGGTATAGCCGAGAGTGACATCTTCTTTCAAGAAGGTATTACAAGAATACGGTGGCGTAATCATGAAAGCCGATGCCAGGTTATACGGCCTTTTGTATCAGCTCGATCATCAATCTCGCCAAGTATCCCGAAAGTATCCAGGCTCACTTTATAGCTCAATCTTTCCGAGTGCGATCACGAGATCAAGTCGGGCCGTTGGATAGGTAGAGTAGCGTTTTCATTGTTCCTGATGCTAGTTTCGTCATTGTGTCAACGGTCTCTACTCTCATCAGTGTCGCGAACGACGACAGGCTCATGTATAAAGTCAGTATCCTCATTCGCGATAACCCTGTAGTCGGCAAGCCCACCTGTCATCTGAAATTTTCTTGTGTGCTTTCGGAAATATCTCACTGCTAACTATGAAGATGAAGGATGAGCAGTGAATGGCAGAAGCTTCCAGCGACGCATGTGATATCGCGCCCGCACACAGTCCGTGCCCGTCGCGCCTGCCTCGCAATATTTGACCCCGCAAACAAAGCCTGATCTGCCAAATCACCTCACAGAACGAAGACGGTGACTGCCAGTTGCCATCTCACCAGTGATGGCGCGCGGAAGACGCGCTAAGGCCGCCGCCTATCACTGTGCGATATGTGAGCAGTCCTTCTCCAGCAAAGCTGAGCTCAACCACCACACTGCCAACCACGACGACACCAGCACTGCGAAGCTGGTGTGCGCCACCTGCGGCTGGTATTTCGACGATTCGCACGCCCTCGAGCTCCATCAGATACAGAGCAGTCACGCACCTCTCCAACCAGCGTCTACGAGCTTGACAACGGCGTTTGCCCCACCGATCGACGAAATGGCGGTTCACTGCGATCGTTGCCAGAAGCAGTTCACCACTCAGAAGCAATTCAGTAATCATCGCAGCAACATGGCGAGTGCGTGCGCCGACTGGAAGCACCCCACGACAAGGCCGCAGCCACCGACACCCGCTGTAGTTGCCCCGGGGTACGTTGATCTCGACAGACCCAATGACGAGCCATCTGTAGTCCCCAACTACGATGATGGTGCATCATCATCATCTGACTCCGTCGACAGCGATGTCGGCATCAAGTGCAGCGACTGCAAGCGCACCTTCCGCTCCCTGGGCCACTACAACAACCACATGCTAGGTTGCACTCCTGTATCGACGACCCCACAAGTCCGCGAGGTACTCCCAGCTACCGCATTGGGTAGCTCTTCAGTCACCATAAACCAGATAAGGGCTGCAAACGCACCTGTACTGGCACCCAGAGCACCGATTTCGTCTAATGTATCCTCCACGCATACCAGCAATGCGGCTGCTTTTGTGTGCAATAACCGCGGTTGTGATCGCTCCTTCAGGTCCGAAGCCGGCCTAAAACAGCACAAGCAGGACGCCCACGGTATTGGAGGGCAGCCACTGAACTTGGCTGGCGGCGACTCATGGATGCTCAGCAACCGCGAGCGAGAACGGATGCGCCAAGAAGGTCTGCTTCAACAACCTACTTCCTCTCGGGGTCGCGGCGGCCAAGGAGGTCGTCCAGCCCCTCGTGGAGCACCTTCCCGTCCTCGGGGGGCTCCCTCTTCAACAAGACCATCTGCACAACAACAGCAATCTGCCTTCGCCCGTCCAATGCCACAGCAAACTCGCTTAGCAGTTCAAATGCCTCCTGCTCCCATCAGCACGAACATGGGCGGCGTTGCGGAGCTTGAGCAGGCCAAGTCCATCCAGGCAAAGACCCAACGGTTGCTCATCCAATCAGACGTCTTCATCCTACATGATGGAAAGGTCAACGCTTGCGATATTATGTGGACTCGGATCGGTGTCGCCAAACAGTACGATGTGGTTACGATGCTGGACGGCATGTGCCATCTCCCAAAAATGCTGCAAGGCGAATACATACCTCCTCCAAAGGCATTGAAAGAAGAATACAAGGCCACGTATTTGTCAAGCGACTTCAAAGCCTCCCCCGAATGCAACATGGTCAAACCAGGTCTTGGCGCAGTCGCGATCTCATGCAGCAAAATCCTGCTAGCAAACGGCTGCCCCGAGGTCGTCAAGATAGCAGCTGTTGATCTGATCACCTGCCGAATCCTTATGAACCACCTTGTCTGTACTGATCCGCACGCGAAAGTCAAAGATTGGTACTCCCCGGTCACCGGATTGTTTAGTTGGGGCGACATGGAGGGAGCTCGAAAAGCCGGGTACAAGATCTTCAAGGGCTGGGCGGCAGCACGGGACGCGCTACACAGGTTCGTCGACAAGGAGACCATCATCGTTGGCTGCAACCTGCGTTCGGATCTAGACGCTCTCCGTATGATCCATGGACGCGCCGTGGATATCGCCAAGGTCGTTGAGAAGGCTGCTCAGGGTCCGCTCAGCAAAGCGCAGCTAGCACTGGATGGCTTGTGCCGCGACTTTCCCGCCATCACTCTCAAGAGCGACCCCGAGTATGGCCGGGACATTCTGATCAACGCTTTTGCGGTGCGTGAGTTCGGCTTGTGGGCGCTTAAGAACGCCGATAAGCTCGGCTCGTTGGCGAAAAAGAGGAGTCGAGAGTACCAGAACGCCATGCCAAATGTTGCCGTTGCAGTAGCTTGATGAGATACGCAGATTTTGAGACAGACAGAACAGATAGGACTACGACAACGAATGCAAAGAACTGAACCCACTTACTGATGATTGCTGTGATGTAACATGTGCACTGCAGACTACATCAGTACGGAAACCGATATCTAACAAGGTCCGAAGGCGATGTAGACTCCTGGGTGATTTTCGTGAAGATACCTACGACTTCTCGTTCTTCTCCTCCTGCTCCTTCTCCACAACATCCACTACGAACGCACCACCCAGCAAAATTGCCGGCTCATCAATACTATGATGCTCATAGCTCAACGTCCCCACACCACCCGCCTCCAGAATCAAACTAGGATTCTCCTCCAACCTCTTCCCCACCCACCTCGCCGCAAAGCTCCTCAAGATATGCCCATGCGCCACAATAAGCACATCATTCGGCTTCCCATCCTTCCCAAACTTGCCCTTGTGATACTTCTCCCTCAACTCCTTGATCAGCTTATCCAGTCTCTCCGTCACATCCTCTGGGCTCTCGCCGCCTTCGCACCCGTCTTTCCATATGTCCCAGTCCGATCCCAATCCGCGTTTCTCGCGGTCGGCTTTTATTTCAGAGGTTACGCGGCCTTCGTAGTCGCCGTAGTCCCATTCCCGGACGGCTTCTGTTACTTCGATTGTGGCGTGTGTGCGGATGTCGGGCGTGTGGGGGGTTGAGGTGGAGTGCCAGGGGTAGCGTTCTTTGCAGCCGAGGTTTAGGAGTTCGAGGGTGCGTTGGGAGCGTGTGCGGGGGGAGACGTAGCTGTGTGGGTTGGGGTCAGTGTCTGAGAGTTTTTGACGTTTCTTCGGTTGTGTCTGCGGAGTTTGAGAAGGGGGTTTGGACGTACATGTGTGCTAGGTTGCTCGGTACGATCAATCTGTCGTCGCCGACGAGCGCTTTGCCAGTGGCTTTTACACGCTTCTCGCCGTTTTCCGTGAGTGGAATGTCCGAGACTCCCGTGTGGCGTCCGTTGAGCGACCATTCTGTTTCGCCGTGGCGGATTATGAAGACTCGTGGGTCGGGCATCGTGTCTGTTCGTAGACCTGCTGTTGTGGCTGCTGGAAGGCGAGGATCGGAGTGACGAGACGCGACGCGAGGTAATTGGGTCAATTGGAGAATGCGGCTGCAAAGCGCGTGTAGAAGACGAGGTCGCAGGGAACGTTACGGAGGTAAAGTCAAAGGAAAGCGTGAAATGAAGTATGCAACCATCACGGCAGCTAACGGAGCTCAGTCCGTAGGTATGACGTTGGTATGGGGAATTATTTAGCATGGTGGGGCGTGCCAGGGACGTGTTGGAGCTACCCCACCATATCCGCTACACGCGCCTTGTCATGCTTCGACGCGCATAGGTAAGCCTTGGTCATCGCCTTGTTGAGAAACTTGATGTAAGATGGTTTCGAGTACATGTGAGCGCATTCACTTCTGCAAAAGGAAAGAGCAAGTGGCGCGAATGTAAGAGACGAGCGTGAGGTATCTTGGCTAAGATTTGGTGTAAAAGTAGAACTGCTCCCAGTCTGAAGATGCCTGGGCAGAAATAGAAGCGAAGGCAACTGCTAAACCATCTATCAATATGCGTGTGAAAGCCGTCCCATCTCATCACTCCGCTACAATGGCATCATTTGGCACGCACTGGAAATACCATTCTAACAAACATTAGTTTCGTAACAGAAGAACGACGCATTAGTGTCCACATACCGTTCTGTTCCACGCATGTTGAGCCCTTTTCGCAAACCGTGCAGCCGTCCCAAGGCTTGGTGTAATCCCAGCCTCCGCACTTGTAGTAAGCAGGTACAGGGCATCTCGTGCTGCTTGGGCCAGTTTCCTCAGTGGTGGTCTTTGTGGGCTTCTCGGTAGTCTTCGTAGTCGTCTTGATAGTAGTCTAAGTATATTAGTATAGATCCACAATAAGAGCCTACAATGGCTGACCTTCGTCGGGGTTGGCTCTGGCTTCTTGCTTGTCGTGGGTGGTTCGGGCTTCTTGGTCGTGCTGGTCGACGTTGGTGCTGGCTTCGTACTTGACTTGGGTGGTTCAGGCTTCTTTGAAGTGGTTGTAGGTGTTGGCTCTGGTTTCTTGCTTGATGTGGTCGGCTCAGGTTTCTTGGTTGTTGTCGTTGTGACTTTGCTTGTCGTCGGCTGTGGCACACCCGATGTAGGCCGGCTGATGTTGTCGGTGCAACGACCTCCAATGCATGTAATAATGTACGTCTGGCGTGGCACGATGTCAACATGGTTGTTTGCTGGCGCCTAATTCAAGTCAGTATGAGCTACCATTGCAAGTATCGACGTGCTTACCGCAAAGCATACTGCCGAGAGGCTTGTCAAAAGCGCAAGCGTGGTGAGCTGCATGGTGATTTGATAGTCAGATACTGATATATTCGTGAACAAAGATGCTGATCCAGGTGAGGAGTCTGAGTTCATGGGGCACCGACAGCATCTTATACCCACGAGCTTATGTTATTAGTCGGTTCAACTCTAGGAAGTCAATGACAGGCTCAATGATAGCTTCGTGGCTCTTCTTCTGAACACCCGCGGCTCCATTGTAGACATGCAGTCTGGCCAGGGCCAAGCCCAGATACGAGGCCATCCTAATCTGCTCTTGCATTCGCCTATATTGTGGCTAGCGAGTTTGTGTGCCATTGTGACGGTACAGGCAATGTCAAGCATGGCGAGATCTCGTCCAGTCAGCCAAACACGACAAAGCACTCAAAAGTTGCATTTGGAAGACTTGGAGAGATAGGATGCGCTGCGATCGATGGATGTATCCGCGTTCGTTGCAGTGCATTGCAGAGTGATGCTTAGACAGGTTACCCACGATACACAGCTACAAGGCTTTGACCAAAATTCATTGCCTAAAGGCCATCCGCAGCTCGCCTGCGTTCCGAGATGCTTCGCGACTGTACCTGATGCTATTCTTATCCATGGCCACGCTTATAGACTGGGATGTGTTTTAGCCGCAAATTGATACCCAGTTGACCCATGTCCGAACACCAGACTCACATCCACTCGAGGGCGATCGTGATTCGTTTCCTTTTCCCAGATGGCAAAAGGATAGATTGTTCGATACAAGCAGTGAGACTGGTAGCCGGAACACTTGACGGGAAACCCGCGCGACGCTCGAGACGATCGCAGGATTGTATCGTAACCCGGGGGCGGATGATTGGGGTGCGGAAGGGTGGGCGCTTTGCATGCTGAGCCAAATTATGGGGTTGACACTGCTCCAGAAGGCTCTAGGCGAATGATGGCAGTAATGCGTTAAGAGGCACATGGATAAAATGAACGGTAGTTACTGTCCGTGACCGGAGGGTAGTACCTGATCATTCACCGCCTGCTCCATTCTGTTGCTGAGTGCCATTCCCGAGAAGGTCTCCAACACCAATCCACTTCCTCACAAGGAAGGCGCCCTGTGGCCTCAGCTTCCTGTAGTATCCCTCTTCTCTCTCGAGTATCTCAAAGTTCCGCTTCTTGTACCATTCCATGCCTTCCTCGTTGGCCTCCCACACATGTGCTGTGACACAGCGTACACCATGAAGCTCGACGGCCTTCTTGACTATCGTCTGTAGAAGATGCATAGCGATGCCGTGGGAGCGGTAGGGAGCCAGGACGCCAATGGTGGAGATGTATAGGTTCGAGGAAGGAAGTATGCGACATCGGACGGCACCAACGAGATGTGGTTTCTCTGTAGGTGATGCTGAGGTGGCATTCGCGGGCGACGAGTGCCATACTGCTACGAGGGTAATGCCGTGATGTGGCTCGGTCATCGTTTCCTTGTAAAAGGTCTCTGGGTAGGATATGGGTAGAGTGAGGGTATTCAGGCGCTTGAATGCTGGTAGCAAGTCTTCGGTGAGGGGCACGAGTTGGACGTTCGGCGGTAGAGGGCGTAGGTCGAAGAGCTTCGGGATGGCTGGCTGTTGGGTAGAGAGGGAGATGGGTGAGGGTATGCGCGAGATAGCAGGCGTGACGGTTCGGGAAGGACGAGGGCTCTTCTTTGATCGCGGTCTTGAAGGAGCCTGGAGGAAGTCGTCGGGTATGTCGTTCCAGTTCTCCATGTTCGAAGGCGTAGGGGTCGGGTTAGAGGGAACGCGCGTCGGCGCAGAGACAGACTTTGGGGGAGGCGGTGGCCGGTTCGTCTTTGATGATGCTATTGGAGGAGCGTTTGAGGGCGGCGCGGGTTGTTTATCGAGGCTTGGCTTCTTGAGCCAGTTGTTTAAGGAGGACTGCATCGCGGGCAGAGAGGGGCTGGGTTGGCTGTGATGATGTCGTCGTGGGTCGCGGTTTGGGTAATGATACAATGGATGGTCACGTGTACAACAGCGAGTTGCTACAATTGTATCCTCGCGAAGCGTTGTGAATTGTCAAGTAATGGAAGCGCAACCCGCAAACACAAACATGAGGGGAGACTTCTGGTGTTTCCCTGACGCGCCCTCGGATCGATTGCAGGGATGCTTCCTAGCGTGCTTTCGTCGGCCAAGCCGTCAGCTCCGACTTCTTGCAGGAACAGCATCATCGCCCTAGAAATCCCCAGGAGCCACCACCGCAACCATGGGCGCCGAGAACTCGAAACCCTCGTCAGAGGTCAAGCAGCATGTCTTCTCCTCGTACGTCGCATCTCCCACATCCAATGGCTTCAGCCCCTCATAAGAGACGAATCAGCCAGTGACGTCGTGTGCTGATAATTTGCGCGCAGAGATCACCCCTACAGCTTCTCCAATGAACTCGTCGGATCGCTGCAGAAGAACACTTTCGTACGTTCAATCGCCGAAATGGGCGAATTGGGGCTAACACACGTGCAGACAGACTCGGCGCGATCAAGACAGCAGGAACTCCAATACCAGGAACGCCTAACCGCCGAGCTCGAGAAGCTGCGCGAGCAAGAAACCCAGAACTTCTCCAAGTTCAGCGAAACCCTCTCCACCGAGACCCCACAGTCTGATGAACCCTCCCTAGTCGAGAAGATCCAGGATGCGACATCCAGCAGCTCCACCCTCGCCGAGAAGCAAAGACAAAAGCACATGAGCAGGGACAGTGTCACCAAGGAGATCGAGCAACTCAAGGCGAAGCTCGAGCAGAGGAAGAAATTGGAGCAGGCCGATGCCGATGTCACCAAGGCCAAGGAGGCTGTCGTCTCATGTCTGCGGACACACGACCGCCGGCCGCTGGATTGCTGGAAAGAAGTCGAGACCTTCAAGCAGGAGGTCGGACGCCTGGAGAAGGAGTTTGTACAAAAGACCATCCGATGAGCCACGACGCGAGACTGTGACGGTGATGTTTGGTACGGGCGCCTTTGTATAGTTGGGTTAGGTGGGATAGCATCCTCGAGGGCATTTCTTATCTCCAAATCCCTACATTACTCATTACTTGCATCTTGTCGAACACACCGCTACTACAATATCTATGTGGAATCGCGCGGGGTACTTTTACCGCAATGTTTTGATGACTATGGGTTACTTCTCTTTCCACTGTCGGTTCCTTCAGTCACCACAACTATCTTACATCTCTTGCACATTTTGAGAGACTGATCTCACATTTTACGTATGTTTGTTCATGACTTTGGCTACCAGTGGACCAGGATCACCTTTGCATCGCAGTCTTCATCGTCACAACTCGCCTTCACCGCGCGTTAGGACGCGTGAGCTCTCTAGGTTGCCTACGCCATCTGCAACAAAACTGGCCTACAGCTCGCCTTCCTTCCTCTTCGGGCGTCTAGCAGACTCACCTTCACCGTTGATGCCTTGGCGCTTTGGCCTCTTTGTTAGTATAACAGGACAGTGTCTCTCACAGTTTCGACTGCCAACTACCACGCAAGCAGCTTTAGACACTGGCTACAGCAATATTGTGCCTGCCTTTTTGTTGCACTTCGCAACTCGCAACTCGCAACTCGCGATAAATCTCTAGTTATCGTTGCTAGCGCGCGCATTGCAGCAACTGCCTAGTCACGACTTCGTGCAAAAGGCAACTGCGAGGTACGTCGCGTGGATCGTCGCGCCTTCCACTCCAAATTTCATGTTCGTGTTGCTAACATTAAGCAGCAGCAGCAGCAGACAACATGTCGTCAACACGACCCTACATGGTACTCGACGAAGATGACGAGAAGTGGAACGACGATGACAGTGATATTGAGCTTCTCGACTATGGTAAATCGCTACTTCTTCATTCAACTGACTTTATTGACTGACACTCAAATTTCAGATTCCGAGTCCGATCTTGAGACCATCGCGGTTAATCCTCGTGAGGCGTCTGATACACCATCCAAGCCAACCGCGAATGACGGAAAGAGCCGCGCGCACAAGGCTCGACCCAGCAATGACATCTCTCTACCTGATGTTGCAATCCAGAGATACAAAATCGGCACAGGTTTCGTCATCAAACCGGGCGACACAGTGGAATTGAAGGATCACTCGAACCAAGATGAGGGCGCTATGCATTCGGGAGACTTTATACGCATCAAGAGCATAATCATGAACATGGAGACGGATGAAGTGCGACTCCGAGGTTGGCGCATGCGGCGTACAAAGTACCTTGGTCAGATCTTCGATTGTGAGTACGACAATTGGCAGGCTTGAAGACATGTACTGACTCCTATTAAGGGAAGACGAACGAGTTGGGCATGGTCCTACGTCTTGATGAAGATGACCCTACATCACCTTTTGTCGCTGGAATGGAAGACATCGAAATCGAAGATGTCTTACGAGTACGCGACTGTACGCTGACCAACAAACCCTACCCGTTCCTCAGCTTCCGATCCGACGGTTGTGCTGCATGGCCGAATAGTATGAGTAAGGACGAAGTCAAGCGGCAGATCTTCCATGGAGGTAGGCTCACTTGCCGTGTCGTCAACATTCTCTACATAAGTGGCACAAGGACAAAGCCATATGGAGGCGTCGTTCGTCATCTATATACCCACGAGGCGGATGCGACTGCGACACCAGCTCAAACTTCAGATCCCGGTAATTCTCGCCAGACTTCGATATCGGTAGACGAAACTGAAGAGGACGGATACGTCGTCGTGAACCAGGCGCCTTCTGCAAAGAAGCGGCGTGCACGCGACGACTCTCCTGACTTCGAGATCTTGGAACAAGAGCCACCAAAGCGAAAGACTCAGCATCCATCGAAGCAGGGCCGTCTAGTGTTCGGAGACGTGTTCTGTGGAGCTGGGGGTGCTAGTCAAGGCGCTGCCCAAGCCGGGTACTATGTTCAGTGGGGTCTTGACAATGATGAACGCGCGTTTGCTGCATACCGCCTGAATCATCCTGGTGCATACGCATGGAAGATGAATGCGCATGATTTCCCGCCGAAGGGTATCAGCAAAGAGAGCTGGAAAGTCGACGTACTACACCTCTCGCCCCCTT